CATTCGCGTTTGGAGTGAAGTGCTGAAGTGGGCTTGGCCTGGGGCCAGTCAGTTAGCGTATCAGGTGCCTGACAACTCGTGAAACCTGTTTCTCGGCATCGGTTTCCCAGATCTGCGGTTGGAGGCCCCACGGCTGAAGTTGCCCTGTGCACCTCAGGTGGGGAGGACCCAGCCTACCAGCGCTTGTCAGGGCATAGTGTGACACATAGGCAGCATATTCCCTTCATAGAAAGATGCCTGAGCCCGGCTGCAGAAAGTTGTCTCCACGCCAGTATAAGCACATTTTGATGCCGCGGAGGTAACTTGAGGTCTCTTAATCACAACTGTGGGCCCCACTGGATTGGCCGCGGAGGAGTGGAGGGCTGGAGGGGTACCACGCTACGTAGTAAACATAGCACGTGAGCATGTGCTAGAGGTACTGAAAATGATAGATGGCTGCTTGTTTCTGAGGGCTGATTTCCCTCAAGCCTTCATTTCCGCTGTGCAAGTTGCAACCTGCCTCAATGTAGGACGCAGTTAGCCAAAGTTTCTCAGAAGTGCTTGATCCTCCTAACCCTACCCTGAACCATACAGCCTGAGCCGTAGGTGAGTGTCTTGCACCGAAGTGATGCAGTCTTTGGCACGGGCTCATAGTCACCGGAGCCTTCGTCGGAGGTGCATATGTTGTTGTCAAGAGGCGCCCCCAGGGAAGTGACTGCTGGGCAAACTAAATTTGTAGGGCGGCGTGTGCGAATGTTTACATGTAGACTTTGCCAGGGGTTCGTGATCTCTAGGGCTAAGGGAGTTAAGGGCTGAGGGTTCAGTCTTGGAGGTATGGGCTTCATAGGCCATCTTGTCGACCTGCTGGTATATAAGAGATTCGCAGGTTGATGGGAAGGGATCTGCTCCAAACCCAATCCCTAAGCCTTCTGTCCAGGTCCAGAGCGGCAGAGTTTGACATGTGAATCCCCGTACGTCCAACAGCTACAGCTTCGCAGAAGGTTCGTGGGGTTCGCAGAGGGGCCCACGGTACCGCAACGGTGTCATTAAGGTAGTCATGATGACCATTCTGCAAGGTTTGCGTGAACTCCCCCTGCTTCTTTTGAGGTGCTGCTCTTGAACCTCAGCTTCTCGCCCCTCTAAGATAGACGCTCCATGAAGCTCTTGAGACCATCAAAGGGCCTGATGTTGCGATGATTGCAATACGGGCTCCTACACTCAACAATCCGATGCAAAGCAGGGTGCTGGCAAGGCACAGATACGAGAATCTTGCAAGTGATGTAATGTGTGCCAGCAGCTGTGCTGAGGCTTGAACGTTGCAGCTCTTCAAGCTCCAAGATGCAACAGCTTGCTTTCCGTGCTACACGCCCAGCAAACAACCAAAGTGCATGCCGCCGAGCTCAGGCTCTGTGCGTGAATTTTGTTGCACTATGAGCTGAATGCATGACAGCCAGGCAATCCACCGTGCGACTGCAGTCACAGCAGGGCGCAGGCTGTTCATAAAAGTCAGCGGGCCTTCCCTCCATTTAGCTCACCTGCCTGCCCTGAAATGTCCGCCAGTCGCCCACGGCAGTCCGCGCTGGTCACGCTGCGGACTACATGCCATGCCGCCATGGCAAAGCCCCATTCTGCAGTTCGGACATTGCTTGCAGTTTGCTCCGTGATCATACAGAGTGGGATGAGTGATTTTCGATCGCAGCCATTCACACGGAGATGTGCCCGACTCCTTTTCTGAGCATGTTCTCAGAAGAGGAGATGAAGAAGACCGGTCAGAGAGGGCTTAGATCCCATTTCATCAGGCCAATGTCATGCCGGATGAGCTCTTCTGCCGCGAAGCAGATCCCCGCGCAAAAAGCCCAGCGGCCTTAACTGAGAGATAACCACCAATTCTGACAGAACCTAAACCCTAAACCCTCCAGAATACTCAACCCTAAACCCCTAAACCCTAAACCCTAAACCCTCCAGAAGCTGAACTTTGGCTTTCTGAGCGCAGGGCGACGGGGCATGGCATCTTGGTGAGGGCTTTTGCCACTCATGACACGAGCGTGGCCTCGGCTTGGTTCTCAAAAGGGGCGGCCGTGGGTTAGGGTTTAGGGTTTAGGGTTTAGGGTTTTAGGGTGTTTAGGGGTTAGGGTTTAGGGTTTAGGGTTTAGGGTAGATCTTTGAGGACGTCTCAGTGCCTAGGGCAACTGCAAAGGCTGCGGAGCACAAGTCTTGCTTTGTCCGCTTCCCCGCCTCAAGCGAAGCCCAACTCCAAGCAAGATCCCGGTGCTACCCTACAACCTAAACCCAGAACCCTGAACCCTAAACCCTAAACCCTAAACCTTTAACCGTGTGCTTTGGGTGCTTAGCTTTCGTTGCTCTGTCGGAGGATGGTCAGGTCTCACAGGTCGCACAGCCGAAAGAAGAGTGTGCAGCCCCTCCAAGCGCACCATGTCATTGCCAGATATATAGAGGGTTTAGGGTTTAAGGGTTTAGGGTTTAGGGGTGGACTACATGGGAGTTTCTCAAAAAGGGGGGGCCCTAGGGACCCCAAGGGGTATAGAGGGATTATAAGCGGATTATATAGGGCCCCCTGAAGGGATGATATAGGGCATGTATTGAGAAATACCCATTTTCCGTTCACGTTTTTTACGTTGTTCACGTTGCAGACCAAAGCCGCTCCTTGCCCGCATGCCTGACCTGTCGCTTGCACCTTGACATTGGGGTCGGACTGCCTTGGGCCATCAAGGCAGCTATACTCGTAAGTGCACGCGCGGCCAAAAAAGTTCCAGAGCCTCACCCATCTGCATCATCGCACGGCGGTTTGAGTGACACACCCCTGGCTCATAGCCCGTCAAGGCTGTCATGGGGTTGACGCCGGAAACGCATCAAGTTTTGTGTTTTCCTCATGCCCTCTTAGTGTACCCGCCACCAGGCTTGCTAGATGCTTTACCAGCATGCCACCACGGGTGGAAGCTTACAGAAGAGTCTCAATGCAAAAGATCTTGCACGCAAGTTTACACGAAAGACAGCCATGGATGCAGTGGCAAAGAGAGGGGGCCACGGGAAGCATGTCTCGGCATCTCAAACTTGCAGTCGCCCAGGATCCAGATTGGATTTGGCGACGCGAAGCAGAGCAAGACATGCCTAGTGCTTGTGAAGGCATCTGCGCATCAGATACGCAAAAGACGCATTGCTCGTTCCAAGAATTAGTTCCCCTATACCGAGTGTGGCACGTGCTCCTCATATCAAGCTGACATGTGTCACCAGCAACATTGGATGTTCAGGATTTAGCTTTTCGCAGGAACGTTGAGCTTGGGCTGTTCAGATTGCTTGGCGAAGTTACAAGAACTCTTTTGTTGTCTGGAGTTGGTGGCATGTCTTAGTCTAGGACAAACACAGCTGAACCACTGCAGAAGGGCTCTATCGAAGGCGTGCCGTCCAGGTCTTTCGGAAACATGATCCATGGTTTGTGTGTGCTAAACATCCTCTTCATCTCAAGGACGGCAGAAACGGACCCGAAATGTTGAGGGCCCAACCCTAAACCCTAAACCCCAAATCCTCAACCCTAAACCCTCAAGCCCCCAATCCTAAACCCTAAACCAATCAGCCCCGGCTGCAAAACTGATTGGCTTCAAGCGGGAGGTGAGCCCGGATTGTCTGCCCAAATGGGCCGGCAACTTTTAGCCTGCGAGCAAAAAGTCTAACCATAATTGCGGGGGAGGAGTGAGTAAGCTTTTTGGGTTGAGGGTTTGTTTGGGGTTTAGGTAGGTAGGTTTTGTCCATTGTGCAGGAAAGCTCGAGTGTAATCTACTGTAAAAGTATCGGTCGCGAATGGCGCTGCTACCTTCGAGCTTTACGGCAGTCGTGGCCACAGCTCTCTGCTTGGCTGCGGAGGGCAACACATGGACCTTACCTTCCTTTAGGGTTTAGGGTTTAGGCCTTACCTTCCTTCTATTCAGGGAGTTTTCCTTTGTACCCTTAGGGTTTGTCCACATGCGGTTTGGGTACCTAAACCATGGAACATGGTCCTTAATAAGGGTATTTGGGAGCCCAAACCTGGGGTTACAAACATTAAGGATACAAACTTAAAGTCTTCGATCTATTGCTATTACGAGTACTACTACTGGTACTATATTACTTGCACTAGTACCCCTACTATTACTTTTACTATGACTTCTAATATTGCTATTGCTGGTACTATTACTGTCGCTATCACTAGCACTCGTACTACTCTTACCACTACTACTACTACTACTACTCCTACTCCTACTCCTACTACTACTACTACTACTACTAGTAGCCTTTGGGGGGGATCCTCTCCCTGAGCTTGCCATCCCCAAACCGCCTCTTCGTGAGGACGCAGCTGTCGCCTTCCAATCCGCCCCCTGGGATCGGCAGATCCTGGGTTGCTGTTAAGGAACTTTATTAGGGTTTAGGGTTCAGGATTTAAGGATCAGGGTTTAGGGATTAGGGCTTAGGGTTTAGGGTTTAGGGCTATATACTCCTTATTATTTGTCGATGTATATACCCGGATATACCCATTAAATTAAGTTCCTTAACAGCAACCCAGGATCGGCAATGGTCTGGGACGAGGCCAGGCCATTTGCATAGATCGGAAACATAACATGTGGGTTATTCTCGAAGCTATGGGCCCCTTTTGGTTATAGAGCATATTGCGGACTTCATATTTAGGGGTACCATGATGGCGCGCTGATTTTGGGAACGACCCATGTGATAAGCAAAGCAGGGCTTTCTGGGCTTGCAAAAGATCCGCCAGCGGCGATAGAGTTGCATGAGACATAGCTTTTGTGGGTTTTCTTGGGCGACGAAAGACCGTGCAAGGGTATCGCGATAGGGTGGTCTCCGGGTAAAGGTATAATGTAGACCACGATTGATAAACCCCCTCCTTTCAAGGGCCTTAATATTAGGATCCTTATTATAATCCCTATTAAGGGAGGCAGTTTATGAAGCAGGGGTCTGGGTTATCGGACAACATCCAGGTGGGTGACGGAGCCTTTCTCTTCGGTGGGGAAGCTATGCCGAGCTACAACAAAATCAACGTGCTGTTCCCAACCCCTATTAGACATGTTTGTGCTTTTCTTCCTTAAGCTACAAAGATGGAGAAAACTATAAGTTCTAGTGGGACCACAGGTACTTCTACAGCAAAAGCTTGAACGCCTGGTCTGTGAAATCAAGTACCGGAGCTCCGGCCGCGCGACACATGCACACGGCTGTTCTGCGAACCCCGCAACGAATGCTGTATGTCTTTGCTGGGGGGACACGTGACATTCACAGCAGTGCTACCGGCCAGCTCTTCAGTGATTCTGGGTTGCTGTCTAGGAGCTTCATTTAAGTTACCATAGTATATATATCTAGGATATATATCTAGGAATTCATAGCGTTTCCCCAATACAGTTTAAATAAAATTTTCTTCCTTAGCAGCAACCCAGGATTTGTTTGGGTATGACGTGGCGGCAGATTCCTGGACACAACTGACGAGCCACGCAACCCCACGTGCACTCCACACGGCAGTTTGGGACACGGCCTCGGACCGGATGATCATCTACGGCGGGGAGGCCGATGACTCATCGAAGACAAAGCTGGGGGATGCTGGGTTGCTGTTAAGGAACTTAAATTAAGTTATCAGAATGGGTATATATAGCAATTAATATGGTTCCCCCAATATAGTAACTTAACTTAAGTTCCTTAACAGCAACCCAGGATGTGTTGGAATATGACCCTGGCTCAGACACATGGAGCTCTCCCACCGTAACCACCGAGCCAAATGCGCGAAGCGGGCATGTGGCTGTGTGGGATGTGACCTCTGCGGTAATGCTCATGTGTTGTGGACATGGAGATGTCTCAGTCTACAACCCATTCGTAAGCTCTTCAGAACAGCATTACAATGACCTCTGGAGCTATTCAAACTCTGCGGGCTGGGTGGAGTTGGTGGACTTTGGCAGCTTTACACCGCGCCGGGAGCTGGCCGCCGTGTGGGATGCAAATACACGCTCACTGTTGGCTTATGGTGGTCGCTTCACCAGTGGAGAGTTGGATTCCATGTTCTACTATTCAAGCACCACTGACAGCTCTTATCAGGAAACTGTTGCGGGACCAGGCGCCCGCGATGCGCACTGCGCGGCTTGGAACCCTGACTCGGCGGAGATGTACATGATTGGAGGATGGACTGGTTCAGGTTTTGATGACGTTCTGTGGAAGTTCACGAGTACCCTTACATCAATTACAACAACTTCTACCGCTTCCACGGCGACTTCCACAACCTCGAGCAGCACAACATGGACGAGAAGCAGCTCTTCTACCACGACCGGCAGCATAACATCAACAAGCAGCTCTACTTCTGAGACTGCTACTATCAGTTCTACATCAACAAGCAGCAGCACAACATCTTCTAGCAGCTCAACATCCTCCGGCACCACTTCAGCAAGCAGCTCGACGTCCACCAGTAGCACATCGAGGAGTTCCAGTCAGACATCATCAAGCAGCTCCACATCTAGCACTGCGACATCCACCAGAAGTAACACAGAATCGTCAAGCAGCTCGACGTCCACCAGTACGTCGAGCAGCCGCACAAGCAGCAGTAGCAGTAGCACATCGTCAAGTGGCTCAGTCTCAGGAACTGGCACTACTTCGACGAGCAGCTCCGCCTCGGAAACCACCGGCCCTACCTCCACAAGCAGCTCCACCCCTGAAACTGGGTTGCTGTTAAGGAGCTTAATTTAAGTTACTATATTGG